CGTTCTTCAAAGGGCCTTACCGCCGGAGACGGAAATCCGTGAGGTAAGGTGAGGTGTGCATTTTTAGGGTCGACCTTTTCTAACCCCACCCCTCCTTGTGGGAAGGCAGCATCGCTGTCATGCTGGTTGTCTGAAGGAAACACCTTACTGCTGTCACACCTCTGTACAGTCAGCAGTACGACTTCGCCTTCGGACCTTGGGTTTGTTGCTTTTAGTCTTACCGCTCTTCAACCGACCTGTCTGACATGGTAGGACCTTGAGGAGTGGTTGTTCCAGCCAGTATAGCTCGGTTGCTTCATCACGATAGGCAAGCCCGACCACCACGCCAAGGTAGCAACAACGGTCGGAGAGTTGTACAATATGAATTATTGATTCATTAGATGAATGAATAGTTTCTTGCAATTAAATAAACAACTGGCAACACATTACATAAGAGTAATAACTGAAGAAAAAAACACAATTCGTAATATAGGGGAAGAATTGATTCAATTGTTAGGTGGTTTACAAAGAATAACTTCATTTGAAGTAGATTGATTACATGATGGACTGAATCACTGATACATTGTTGTATGGGACTCCACAACGATCCATACTCAGCAACCATATATTAGGTCAAACTCAGGACTTTCAGGTCTCTCACAGACGTATCCGATGCCCCCTGATTCTCAATGTTAGTCTAACTAGAGTCAGTTCGTGATGTAAACTACGAAGTTCAACAACCTCTACAAACCGTCAACACTAGTAACCCTATTTGAAATTGGTTTGAAATTATCTAAAAAGGGGCACGAGATCGAAGCTCCAACCTTTAGGTTTAATGGTAGTTGAGTTTAACCACGTAGACAGTGAGACGGCTACTATTATCATTAATGGCACTAAACGATCACTATATCATATCATATTACTGACCAACGTTAGAAATGTGGAAGATTTGGATTCCTGCTAATTCGGTTTGAAGGTATGTAATAGTCAACTGGAGACCTTAGGATCCTTAATTAGATTAAATGTACGAGCTCATGGCTGTATACTGTGAATATGTCCTCTAAACAAGGACGGTGGAATTGTCTAACTGTGGGGACAAATCCCAGTGAACTCAAGGAAGCTCTGAAAAAGCTGAATATATTCCACCCGACCATCTTTTGGAAGAACATTCCAGAATTTCTACGTGTAGCTTCACGATTAGGCAAATGTGGATTGGATAACTGTAATGATGATATCGTTTTTAGTAAAAACTATAAATACCCGAGTGTTTTGTACCATATTTGACTGGTTGGAATAAGACTTTGTCTTCTAAATTAAGATTTGAAGGGTTCAGGCGTCCGAGTGCTCAACTTCTAGATACAACACTAACAGTCCTTGGTTTTCAACGGTTTATCACCTACTGATACCAGTCCAAGAATAAAACTATCTTCAAGATCAAGTTTGTAAGGCTTTGAGGATGATACACATCGAGAATATTGCCAGTTGGTTGGAATTAGTTCGATCGCCACAAAAGTAACACACATCACTAATCAGTGACCAACTATAAAGAATATAGATGTAGAATCTTTTTGAACTAGATTTTTACTGAAGTGGCGAATAGGTGTATTTTCGAAGTACGTTGAACGTGAATGAATTTTCAAAGCTAAGAATAGTTGGAATGTATTATACAACTAATAGCTTTTAAAGCCACTACTATTAGGTCAGTTTTACAAATCGTATGAATCAAATATGGAGGTAAAACGCTTCTTCGCATCTTTATTTATCCCTTGATCAGCAATGATTTCTTCCCGAAAAAATTCATCGACTGAGTTACAGATGAACACAGCTTTGAAAAACCCATGAGTGTTCAGATATTTGCAGCATCATCGATGGACGTGGAGGATCCGATGCAGACGTAAATGAAAGGATTGGCAATGCATGGGCAGCATCCCTACAGTTCAAGAACACATGGAACTCAAAACAACTGTCTTTAAACCAATCATCAATACGAACGTCAAGACAGTTCTGCCGTACAGAGCTGAAACGTGGAGAACTACCACAACCATCATGAAAACGGTACAAGTATTTATAAACAGTTGTCTACGTAGGATACTCAATGTCCGTTGACCGGATACCATCAGCCATAGTCTACTGCGGGAGATACACCAGCTTCCAGTCGAAGAGAAAATTAGGAAAAGACGACGAAAATGGATAGGTTATAACATTGTGGAAATCACCAAACTGAATTACGAGGTAAGCGCTAACTTGAAATCCTGAGGGGAGACGGAAGAGGAAGGCCAAAATACACACTGCGCCGAGAATTAGAAGCAGACATGGAAAGGATAGACCAGGACAGAGTTCGATGGAGAATGCTGGTGGACGGCCTACGCTTCTCTAGGAGGGGTAACAGGTGTAAGTGTCATATCCGGACGAAGAATAAGTCAATGATAACTGCTAGGATCTATTCATGAATTCTTATATATATATACTTATTGTTTAACTATTAAGTAACTATGTTATATGTGTATTCATATTTCAGTTATTTTAAGCTTCCATCTGACATATGGACTACTATTATATGATTTACCATTCTTAAGTTATTCCCAATTTATTAGTTTCAGTATCTCACACTCATAAACACTTTTGGCCTGATCTTGTATAATTGCTATTTTCTATTTCATGGTATGATGCAGTCTGATTTGCTTGCATATAAACTGCGTATGTCTAAAATACATGATTCACACAGCAGAAGCTGTGTTCTGGACTCAAACAAGTAGGGCTAGGTAGTAAGACCAACCAGGGCTCATAGTTGACGCTAGACTGCTCGTACTGGTTTATGCGTCATTGGTCTGGTCATATAAGTTGGTGTTTCTAATTGGCGATATTATCATGTGACATATTCGCAGGTCATAAGGACATGACAGTAAGTAATTCAGATCTGCATTCAGTCAGTCATTCAACTACAACGTAGGATCAAGCACATATGTGCAGCGATCCAAGTTGCCACACCTCATTAGCACAACAAGATGAACACCGAATTCATAGAAGTAGTTAATTCAATGGTGGTAATACATAAAAGAATGATTGTATATAAGAATATAGCACAGGAAAAAAGAATTGGTTGATAGAAAGATATAAAGTAATTTTAATCTCATAGTTTAGAGGAAGACAGAAATTGTACACAGCTACGCCATTTTGATCGATTCTGAGCCATGTCACCCAGAGTCTCTAACTGTGGTGTGGGTTACTTTTATCCATATAAGTAGTATATAACGATGGTCAGGCATAGAATGTATTTCAGTAGAAGATCGATAAGGAAAGAACGTGAACGGAACGCAATTGGTGTGAAAATGAATGAACAATGAAATCTGAGACTATGGACTGATATTTGCAAAAAGAAGAGTCAAGTTTGAGATGATGGATTGATATTTTGTAAACTAACTATTTACTATATGGTTCTCAGATTTTAGTGAGATGCTCTGTAATTTCGTGTCATATACATTCGATTGTCCCCACTCGTGTTCTTGTTCACTACACAACCATTAATAACGATAATCGTCGTTGCATTATTATTAATTCGAAATATATTCAGTTACTACAAATTCATATAAAGTAGAACTATACAGAAAACTAAATAAGTTACTCAATAGTCGTCTATGTACAAGATGTTTACTTACTAGATTAGTGGCAACACAGAAATCTACACAAATTGTGACCATCTAGTATCGGTTATGTAAAGCAAAACTGTCTATTCAGTTTAGATTTCTTTAATTTCGATAGTAGTATACACAATGAATGCTCTTGCATTAATAATTTTATAATTTGTTCCATTTATTAGCTTTCTACCGACTGGATCATGAAGACGTCAACATCTAAAAGGAAGCACGGGATACAGTGGACAGATAGGATGCAGCTGGACGACCTAGACTTCGCAGATGATCTGGCCCTCCTATCGCAAATGCAACAACAAGTGCAGAAGACGACCAGTGTAGCAGCAGTCTCAGCAGAAGTAGGTTTCAATATACACAAAGGGAAAAGCATGATTATCCGACACAACACAGCATGCATCAATCCAATCACAATTGACGGAGATTTGGAAGATGTAAAAACCTTTACATATTTAGGCAGCATCATTGATGAGCACGGTGGGTCTGATGCCGATGTGCAGGCGCGAATCGGCAAAACGAGAGAGGCATATCTGCAATTAAAGAACATCTGGAACTCAAAACAACTGTCTGTTAACCAACACCGAGGTCAGAATTGTCAATACAAGTGTCAAGACAGTTCTACTGTATGGGGAAGAAACTCGGAGAACTATGAAAGCCATCATCCAGAAAATACAAGTGTTTATTAACAGTTGTCAACGTAAAATGCTTCGGATCCGTTAGTCAGACACTATCAGCAACAACCTACTATGAGAGAGAACAAACCAGAACAAATCAACTGAGGAAGAAATCAGGAAGAAGCGCTGTGAGTGGATAGGACACACATTGAGGAAAGCACCCAACTGTGTCACAAGACAAGCCCTAACATGGAATCCTCAAGGCCAAAGGAAAAGAGGAAGACCAAAGAACACATTACGCCGGGAAATGGTGATAGACATGAGAAAAATGAACAAGAATTGGATGGAACTAGAAAAGAAGGCCCAGGATAGAGTGGGTTGGAGAATGCTGGTCAGCGGCCTATGCTCCATTGGGAGTAACAGGCGTAAGTAAGTATTAGTTTTCTGATAACGTCTCTGTTTTTAAAGCACTGTTTATATGCTTTAGCCTATTACATTATTTTATTTCTACATTGATTAAAAGAGTTTCGTATGCACAGAGTACTTATGAAACATGAATACTGAATAATAATAAGCAAGTTTCTTCACTTGATTATTTGCTGAACTAACATAGAAACTAAATAAACGATTTCCAAGTTAATATTTATATAGTAATGAAAATCGACTCATTTTAAATGATATTTTCATTAATTTACATAGATTAAAACTTAATACATTAGATATTCAAATCATTAATCAAAGATTTTAGTGGTTTTATTATTTAACACTGACCTTGAGAATTCAAACCTGACCAGTTACTACTGATAGACTCTCCAGTTAAAGATGGATTCCTCAAATTTTGATTACTAAGACGATGCATTGTGCTCAAATAATTACCATTAATTGGACCATTACCAACACTACTTCCACTGCTACTAGTACTTGCATAACTCGCTAAACTTCCTGAACCTACATATCCATAACCATAACCGTAGCTAGTAGATGATGAAGAGGCGGATGAAGGAGTTGCAATTGTTCCAGGACCTGTAGCATAACCTAAACTGATTGATGATGTAGAAGATAGTTGACGACGATGTGTTTCAAATGCACCAGGATCTTTACTACCACTACTATTATTATTAGTCAGAGTAGTAGCAGTTATCAATTTATTTATTTGATTAGATTGATTAACATGATCTTGATATTCATAATTTGCCAATTCATTGGGTTCCGGTTGTTTTCTGAAATAAGTCAGAAAAAAAACTTTTAGCATATTCAAGGCTGCAAGGTAAAGAATTAAAAGTCAATACAGTAGAGAAAATAAAAGTACCTGTGGATTGTTATAACCAGAAGTGGATGGTGGCTAGCAATAAAATTCAAGACGCGAGTTTTGTCCTATTTGGGACTCGTCAGCTGGATATACCTGCAGTCCAGAGTTGATCTTCATTCTTTGACTATAGGTAAGATAAGGAAGCATTTTTCCAAAATAGAAGCGTCTCATACTAAGGTGAAATAGCTATTTACTGTTCACTAGTTCATTATAATACCATGAACGATATCAATCCATGGTGGTGGAGAGAAAATAATTTACACATAAAACTAGTAGTTGAAAATCCTACTATGTACACGATATCACGATTAAAAAAACAGTTGGACTAAAACAAACGTATACACACATACTATGCATAAAGGGTTATAAAAAAGCCATCAGATTAAAGTCTGAAAAACATGGAATCAGTTATAATTAACCTAGATCCTAAAATGAGCATTTCCTAGTTGAAGTTTTCGCATCAGATCAATACGAGATGAAATCAATAACATGTATCGAAAAGAAGTCTAAATAATAGTAGTACTAATAATAGTGAGAAAGACTAAACATTGAAGAATATAATTTGAAGTTAAGTTACAAATAACAGAATCCGAAGACATAGGGGGGGGGGAGATAGGGTGAATGCAAATGATTCTAAGCCGTGTCCTTAGAGACTTCAGCCCACAAACCATACGAAACCAAACCACGTCCTCTGCAATTATCAACATAGCTCAGTCCAGTATTTAATACTTTCATAAGCTTATGTAGTGTTTTGTTTTAACCTCATTGGGTTTTCATCTAACCTCCTTCTACTAGTTTCTTATGAATTTAATTGATACAATTACCTTGAGGACCATACCAGAACTGAAGTGGCAAAAAAGGTGATAACAATCCCAATAGGAAAGGATTTTTATCGAATATTAAGATAAGAATAAGCTGATAATGTCTGTGATTATATGATAACAGTCTATGGAACAATAATCAAATGAAGTTCGAAACTGTGATTATAACTTGACAATGTTAAACCATCTTTAAATGAACAAAGTTTTCACAAACTACAAGCCAATCATTATTAATGACCAACTTTGAGATGGATCTCCTAATAATTCATGAACTATGAAACTAACCAGGTTGATCGTGAGATACTTATCTAGACGATGAAATCAGATGACGATCAGTTTACAGTACGAACTGAATAAAACTTATGGATGAAATCTTATTGGATTCCAGTTGTTCAAATATGTCTTTTTCACCGCAGGACCTGATGGTGGAACTTTGATCTCGTATATATATATATATATATATATATATATATATATAGCGAGACTATAATTTATGGACGAACCACTCAGATTTAGGATAGCAGGTCTTGGATTTTGAAACGAAATTCATTAACCCATTTGGCCAAATGGCGTCTTGAAATTTTAGCTGTTAGTTCGTTATGAAAAACCGTAAATCTAATTCCTAACCTTAAACATCAACTGTGAATCATAATCCTTATTCTTCAAACTACTTTATAACCCTCGTTTAACTCCAATAAGTAGGTAGACACTCTCAAGGTCACTTTGGTGTCTCTTGAATGTCGTCCATAAATTATAGTCTCACCATATATAGTTTTAAACTGATGCAAATTGTTATCCAGTGCTCTTTAATTGATAATCTAACCTTCCAGCTAATTCCAGTTCGAGAAAAAAATACATATATGCAATGGATCTGTTTGTTATGTTTGTTGACTTTGCCATTTAGAAAGAAGCATACACATAAAACAGATAGAATATAAATGTATATTTTCTTTCAATCGAGTATGAACATGTATTATATCCAGTGAAGAAAAAAATTAGCGCACAGTTCTAATAGACAATTCGTTAGTAATCAATATAGAATTGTTTACTCTTAATAATGTAATTAAGCTAGCATGTATAATATAACTCATACTAAATGAATTAAGTAGGTGGAAGGACAGTGTAAACAGTGAACATATTAACAACATAAATCTCAATATATTAAACAAACCAATTCAGTAATCTATGTACAGATTCATAAAGTATGAACATTCAGTTACATTTTGTCAACTGAGAGTTGCTACT